TTGGCTAAGATCACTGTGTTAGGGTTCCATTACTGTAACAAAATACCCAAGATAATCGACTTAAAAGGAGGAAAGTTTTACTTTTGACATGTTATTTCAGAGCTTCCAGCCCGTGGCCACTTGATCCTGTTGCTTTGGACCTGTGGCGGCATAGTACATCATTGAAGAAGCATGTGGTAGGAAGTGCTGCTCACCTCATGGTGGCCAGGAAGCAAAATAAGATAGGGACTATGGTCCAATTTCCCCTAAGGGCACAACCCCAGTGATCTAACTTCCAACCATTAGATCCCAACTTTTAGTTTCTCTCACCTTCCAATAGTGTCAGGGCCTAAAACCAAGCCTTTAGCACATGGGCCTTTGGGGTASAGTTCATGTTCCAATACAGCAGTCATACCGCTTGTATAAGAARGAGCTAGAAGTCTAGACCATCTGACTCAAGAGCCTATACTGTAACCACTATGCTACAGTGTGTTACTATGTCAACCTTCATGGAATTCATAAAATAGTTATAAGGTTCAAGTTGTCACAAATCTTATAGTATTGCTTTATTTGACTAAGGTCTGAAACAAGGCAAATCATGACATTTCTAGGCAATAAAAGGATAGGATGAACCTGTAGTTTGAACACATAACTCATAACCAGATTATTTTCCAACTCTCCCTTATTACTTCTTGACACCTATCCTGAAATGGACAATCAGAAACCGGGTAGTCATCCTTGACTCCTCTTTCTCCCRCACAAATCTGCTTGGTCATTTGTTTAAAAGAGGTTGATCTCATTAATGCTCATCTCCATGACATCTGGGATTGATACTGGCATGTCAGAAATGAGAAGCTACGCTACCACTGCTGCTGCCCCAAATGACTTCTGAAACCCAAGCAGCTGCATACAGCAGAATGCTTCCAGGGAAATGCTCACATATCCATGGTCCTGAATACCAGCACAGGAAACTACCCTGACTTGTTTCCCAAATCTTTTCCTTCAGTGAACCTTCACACCTCTCTTGGCACAGACAGGAACTGACTTCCTTTTATATGCCTTTATGTATTTGTCTTAACTTTCAGAAAGAGACCACACACTCCAATTTTTTCTACTCCCAATCTTGCTTAAAACACTACCATGTAGTACATGTAGTAGCACTGGGAACAATCAAGTTTTCTAGGGGAAAAGCTTGAACCAAAAGTAGAATTTCAGTAAAAACAATCCTAGGTGACTGAGCCAAGGTAAAACACACAGATAAGAACACCAAATAATTTCTGATTGGACATTTTTCAGTGTCTTGAAGGGTTTTCAAATACTACATTTTGAAATCACTGTTTAAAGCACTGGACTTGAAAATTATTGCTGGCAAATGAYATATTTCACTTCTGGTATGAAATATGGCTCAAGACCAATTTTTTTTTTTTTTTAACTCAGGAGACTAATGCCCTTGTCTTTACTGTTGTACTCATACCTATGTTTTAGAGCTGCTTCTTTCTTATGTTTTGGAAGTTGATGATTTAGACCAGAACAAAAATAAATCCAACTCTCTTAGTTTAATTCTAGAAAGCTGTTTGTCACCATTTTTAGAAACAATCCCCAAATACTTGATACTAAGTAAACTTAGTTTTCAGGAAATTATCTGTCTTATTTTGAGGGAGTTTCACAAATCTGCACAAATTTACTTATTTTTATGTCACTGTTATATTTTTACATGCAATAAATTGATCTGTTGAGGAAAAAACACTTGATATTAAATTCCAGATACATAATATATCAAGATAACTTAATTATTAAGTAGCCATGCTCTTATATACAGATATGGAAATACTCAGGCTTATTTAATATTTCATTCTATTTAATGATTTCTATGGTTATAAACTACAGCTGTTTTTCTTTCATAGTATAAGCCATTTTATTGACTCCTAAAATTTAAAAATACTGATTTTCCATCATTAGTATTGACTCTAAATACAAACAAGAAAACAGAATTATAATTCAAAAAGAAATGTTTTATATTCATGAGCTCTTCCTCATGGAATGGAAAGTTTTTAGATTTTCTCTATCCCCTATCCCACCAGAATTTACAAGCTTAACAATTAATATCTTAATTGTTTTGATTGTGGTATATAGTTCTAAACCCAAGGATGGTTTCAAATAATCTTTAATAAACTAGAAGCAAAACATACAAAGTTTCTTATAAACTTCCTCCTTAGATATTTTATAATTAAAAACAAATAGGAAGACCCACAAATGATATAAAGGACTAGTAGTATCTTGAGCTCCAAATAACTACTGTATTAATATGTAGAAAAATTAATTATAAGGCTTCTGTTGCTGTAGAGCACAATAAACATTTCCTATTTCAGATTATCTGGTAGACTGGTAAGAACTAGATTTTTAAAAAAGCCTTTTCAGCAGAAAGAATACCTGTCACAAAGCATTTCATTTGTATAAGTGGGAGACATCCTAATTAAGTCTACTGATATTGCACTATATACAAAAATGTTATAAAGTGAGCTTGATTACCTCATTTTCCCCCCTGAAATGTTCTCTTCCTAATATTCTGCAAATATATATAAGGGGTGTTAAGAACAGTTGTTAAGGAAARTCAGCAAATAAACTACAATTCCTGAAAAATGCCATTTAGAAAGACGGGAAAAAAACAATTTACAATGGTAAGTCTTGAATTACCAGGGAAGAAAAAAGTTTTTATTATAAAAAGGCACATGTGTATGATCTTTTTAATAGTCTTGTCCAATGTTAAAATAAATCCAAATTAGGGTGGATTTTTTTTTTTTTTTTTTTTTTTTTGGTACCAGGGACTGAACCCAGGGGCACTTAACTACTAAGCCACATCCCCAGCCCTTTTGATATTTGATTTTGAGACAGGGTCTCACTAAGTTGCTGACACTGGCTTTAAATTCATGATCCTCCTGCCTCAGCCTTCAAGCCACTGGGATTACAGGTATGTGCCATTGTGCCTGGCCCAAAGTTAATTCTTAATGGGTTAAGTTTCACTTATTTGAAATATTTACCTTTTGGATATATTTTCTTTCTAGGGAGTCCCATAAAAAGAAGCTTCTAATAAAATAAAAGCTTCTGACTTCATTGAAAGAACAATACAAGTTCATATGAAAGAAATATGAATTTGAATTTCTCACCAATTGTAAGCATCATAAAGTATCCTGGAGTCCACAACATACATACTACTTAACAGCAATAGTTTGTTAAATTTGATGCTCTGATTTGAAGCTACCTGTAACTTATGAATCTTGTCTAGAATTTACTTTAGAAACCTGGATTATTTTGGCAACATTCCACCAATCATGTTAGGGCAGACACTAAGAACCTATGATATTTTTAAAAGTATATAATAAGATTATAATTAGGGCAATTTGAGACAAAATTAATATTAGATAATAGTACTGTCCTCTATTCAAATTAGACCACACAGAATTTTGTTTGTAATCCTTGTAAAAAGCAAAATCTCTAATGACAAATGGCAAAAAATATTTGAACATATAATAAAATATGCAGTCACAAAAAAGTTCTGAAAATTTAAGAACAGGACCTTTAGAACATAAGCAGTCTTTTTATGTGAATAAAACTCCTATGACTGTTTTGTAAAAGGATAAAAATTCTTCCTCAAATCAGCCCTTTTATTATAGCTCAAAATCACTGGGCTCCACTGTAATATTTGTTACTATGGTTTCAATTTTACTTTTAAATGGCTTCATTATAATATTTGTTACTATGGTTTCACTTGTACTGCTGAATGTCTAACATTATAACCAGTGTCATACTTGCTTTGTATTACATTATTAAAATGGTTAATGTACTTCAGGAACCAAAGTGTGTCATATACTTTCATTCCAAAAACATCCACAAAACTAAAATGGATATTTAAAATCTTTATTGTTTCATCATCAAAGTTTTCTTTCCATAGAATGGCAAGGTTGTGTCAGTGCATATTCTATGGAAAAATCAAACCTCAAGTATCTAGCCTAGAAACCAGAGACAGCACTGTAAGCTTATGTGCAAGGTCAAAGACACAATGCTGTCAATGCAATTAGTATACTGAAAGAATACACAGCTGTCAGAAGGAGTCTATGGCCAAGGGAATAAAACAGTAGCAGTGCACTGCACTGATATTCTAGAGAAACCAAAAATGGAGGACCAAAGAATGCACTCACTTCCTGAAGAAAAAACAACAAAAAAGAAGCCAGTAGATCATAGGCATAAAGAGTTCCAGCTGTATCTCCAGCTGTCTAGTATGTATACTTGTACCTTCCTCTTTAAGTCTAGAGCATAATTACACAACAAGCTATTTTCTGCCCATGTGTAAATAGCATAGTTGCATGCAGATATTTCATTCTGCTTCCCATTTCACAGCCTAAAGTAACAAAACTTGGGTTAGGCAAAAAAAACCTGTAGCTTTAGGYATCTTCAGAAAAAAACTAAAATTTGTTCCCATTTTCTCCACAAAGAAACTACAGAACAACAAAAAGCTGTCATGATTACTTAGTTTTGAATGAAGGCAAAATAATTTTTATATAAGTATGCTGAACATACAAATATCCTTAACAAAATACTGTCAGATGAACTTTAACAATTTCCTAATGAGTTCCTGGAAAAGGTACTAATAATCATGAGATGCTACAATTTAATCATGCTTGGTTACTGGAATTTTTTGGTCAGGTCTGTGTCTAAAGCTGCTATATGGCTGGATTTGGCTAATCTGCATTATTTCATACAATAAATATCTTTTATAAGAAAAAGCAGATCTATTGTGATAAAATCAAAACCCAAACATTTGAGAGATATACAGGAAACTTGTCTTAAGTATTTTAAAATTACATATGATGTAATCTTAGAATAAGAACTACCCTTACCACGGCTAAATCTTAAATTGTTAATGCACATTATCTGCAAGACTAACAAAATCATTTGTTAATCATGTTACAGCCTTGCAGGGGAAGGGACACTCTTAATGTAATAGCATAGCAATTATTTTCTAGGTAAGTAAACATTTCTAAGTGTTTGAAAGGTTCTTTTACTTAATACATAAAACATACAAAATAAGTTAAAAGGAGGAAGCAGAGGAGGATTTTCTGGTATTTATGATGCAAACATACAACTTTCCCTCATCAGTAATAATTCCATGTATGTCCATTTTACCCATGATAAAACATGAAAGGCCGAGAGATCACAACTTTCACATAAATAGAAACACACTCAAGCAATGGAATTTCAATGTGTTTCTTCCCACACTGCAACTCATTCTACTTTGACTACAATAAACATAAATAAAAAACCATATCTCAAAAATCTTTTTATACCCTTACCTTAAAGTTTAACATAAATTCCTCCATCAATTGAGAAAAGAACACCTTTGTAGCAATTCCATAAAACAATTTTCAATTCACAAACCACCTGTCTTCTAGTAAAACCAGCAACCCTTATGGAGGGTATGGGCATTCATATTTGGCCCCTCTGAGGTAAACGCAGCTATATTTGCACTGAGTAGATAATCTACAAGGTATGCTAATGGTCTGCAAGTTTGCATAAAATTGGGAACTAGGTCATCCTGACTGATTTAAAACTTATTTTTATAATTTTTATAATAATGGAGGTTAACCAATTTTAAGAGGAAATATGTACTTTAGCCCAGTAATAAAGCCAGAAGAATTCTGAATTCCTAAAACAATGCAAATGGCTATTACATTTAAAAAAAATAACATGGCATATTGATAAAAAAGCTGAACAGGAAAAACAAATACTTAGATTCAGTAGGACACCACAAAAAGCATACTATAGATAAGTTGAAATCAGTCAAGCTTTTTCAAAAGAGAAAATCCTTTTAATCCTTTAGCAAGTCTCTGTGAACAGTAATGCATACAATAAAAGTGAGTAGGGAGCACCTAGAATACCCCCAGGAGGCTTGCTACACCATTCAGCATTACTGCAYCATCTCCTGTGTGCATGGATGGCCAACAGATGACAAGAGTCCATGTGACAATAGTTCAGCAACTCCTTTTCACCACTGCTGCCAGCTGAAGTCATCATTGCTTCCAAAGACCAAGAAGAAGCCTAGTATAGTTGCAAAGATGACTGTGTTTCCTGTGAGAACAAGTGCACAAGCTCCCCACTCAATCTGTGGAAATAAGGTGTTAACAGACATATGAAAAACAAAAGGGAAATGAAAAGCAAATGAAGATTCTAACTGTATGCCAAACATGATTCAGAGCGAATATGGCTTGTAATAACTTACACAGTACTTAACACTGATTGGTATTTTTATGTTGTTATTTTTATCTTTGGTTGTTTAAAAGCAAAGTTATGATTGATAATTATTTTTAAAAACAAGCAACGATGACAGCATAGAATTCAATACTTTTCAACTTATGAAGAAATTAGCTTTCTGTAAATAAAAAAAATCTATTTAGAGAATAAATTTAAAGTATCAAGAGATGAAAACCACATGTGCACTTTCTTTTAAAGGGGTAGAGGGAGTAATTAACTGTCTTCTCCATGTTGAAGGTTCGTCAGTCTCTGCTGCCTTCTCTACCTGAGTAGATATAAGATATGCTAGTGGTCACAAAGAGCTGTGAATTTGGGTAGATGAGTCTGGACTTAGTATAGGTAGCCTAGCTCTTTCTCTTTGCAGAGAACACACAATCTTCTTGTTTTCTGGGCTTATATAAGTCAGGCCTGTGGCTATTCAGCACTGGGTGAGTTAATGTGCCTGATCCTGATAGGTACTGGGAAGCCATATGCTGTTCTTCAATTCATTTTTATTAGTTAGCAAGGACCAACAAAGACCTAAGATTTTAATCTCTATATCTCTCATCTCTTTTTTGTGTCAGTAACAAAAGCATTTGAGAAAAAAATTGAACACAGTCTAACATAAAATCATCCATAGAAAAATAAATTCACTTACCAAATGTGCTCGAGCAAATACAATAGGGAGTCCAAAAGCTGAGACAACAATGCCTGTTGTAAGAAATATGGCAAGTTCCTTACAAGCATTACTCATAGCATCTGTATCATCCACCAATCTTCTTGCTATGCAGTATGGAATAGGTGAAAGGATGTAAAAAAACAGAACAAAGAGGGGCCAGTATTGGCTAGAAAGAGAAAAATAAGTTAATGTAGTTTTTGCTTTCTGTTGTTTTCCTACACATAAAAATATGCTTTTCTCCTTTTAAGGACCAAAGGAATACTGTAAGATATAAAACCTATTATAGTTGAGAAAAAAGCTACAAGCTCAACACTGAAGTGATAAACATTTTGAATAACATTACCCATTAAAATAAACTATGAAATATTTAATTTTTCTAATATTAAAAGAAAATGCATTAATAAATTTTAATGGTTGGAATGAAGGCCTCAAATTCAAATTTTTTTCGTTTTACATTATAAAGGCGTATGGAAAATAGGAATGCTAACACAATAACTTTTAAAAAAATTTATAGTTGTAGATGGACAGAATGCCTTCATTTTATTTGTTTATTTTTATTTGGTGCTGAAAATTGAACCCAGTGCCTCATGCATGCTAGGCAAGCACTCCGCCACTGAGCTGCAGCCCCAGCTCCAACACAATAACTTTTAAAAGTCACAATTCATGTCTTTGACATCCTGCACTAATATGAAGTGAAAGCACCCCTTCCCAAGCTTTCCTTAGGTCACTAGGAACTCCCCCAAAATACTGGAATTGAAATATAGAAAACCAATCAAAAGTAATATTGAATACTTTCAATAAGGATACAGAAYTTATCATAATAAAAGCTGATGGCTTTTAGTCTACTGTTTAGTTAGTGGTGTTGTGCTGATATCATTTCCTGGTTTTGATAGCTGCAGTTACATAAAATGTCATGACTGGGGGAAGCAGAGGAACCTGTTTGCACTATCTTTGCAATTTCTTAACAGTCCAAAATTATTTCAAAAGAAAAAGTTAAAAATAAATAAAACTGCTACAAACTACACATGATAGTGGAGATTTGCATGTACTTAGAAGAGTACACTCAGCAAAGATCTACTGATGTTTTTCTAATGTTTCTTTTCCTACACATTTAAGTAAAAAATTGCAAATAAAATAYGTGCTTAAGAAAAAAACTTCAAAACAATACAAAAGCACACAAGGTGAAAACTATATGTCTCTTGATCCTCCCCTGGTTTTTTTTCCCCCTTCTCCTTAAGAGCTTTTTGTGGACCCTTCCAAAATCCCACATAAACTTTAAAAAGGTGACTGGGTCACTGCGATTTTTTATTTATTGACAGATCTTGAATATCTTTAATAACAGCACTTACAATTCTTCATTCTCTAAAACTTCCTCATATTTTCACCAATGGATGTACTACAACTTAACCATTTTTCTTTTGAAGGATATCTATGATATCATCAGTTTTCCCTTTTTGTTCTTATAGACAGTCTTGTCATGAACACATCTAACCCTAGCTCTTAAAAATTAATCTTAAAAAATTCTATCTTAATGAAAATAATTATCAACATCATATTTTTAGTCAACTGTGTTCTGACTCTGCTTATGATATTTTCTATAAACAGATGTTTTTAATTTTCTTGTATTTAATATAATCGATGTGTTTAAAACCGAAGAGTAGGTCTGAACTAATGTGTTGCTATCTTGTCATTACAGACTTGACAATAGTCAGAGAGCAGATAATAGCCAAAAATGTTTTTGTATCTTGGTGTCCTAAAATATTTTCAAATAAAGTGATGATTATTTAAAAGGTTTGTTTGGTAAATGAATATTTCTCTGCATTAATTTTACAGCAGAAATAAAATATTTTTAAAGCTTTAAAAGCACACTTTTACCTTAACACACTTTTTAAAAAGACAAAAATTTTACCTACTTGTATATTGGAAGGGCACATCCAAGCATCAAAAACATCAGCCCAATTGCTCCTCCAAACGACAAACTAATCAAAGCTATAAAGAAAATAAAAAAGTCCAACATATATATCAATTCTTTAAGCCAGTAAATATTATTTTTGTTAATATTAATATTAGCAGTTTGAACTTTACCTGTAATCCCAGAACTAAAACAAAACAACCTTGCCGATAAACCTAAATATACTCAGAGTACACTGTCTCCAGGAGTGTAAGTTATGTAATCTAAGAATAAGTCTTCTGTGGCATCTTCAAGTGATAAAGACTGAGCATCATTCCTTGTTTGAAAACTAAAATCTCAAATGCTCCAAAATCTGTAACTTTTAGAGCAATGACATGATGCCATACCTTAAAACTTTATTTCATGCAATTAAAAATAATTTTTAAAATTATAAGTGTGTGTTTGATTAAGTGTGTGTCTTATACACTTCAGGCTATACATGTAAATTTATATTAAACATAAATGAATTTGGGGTTTATGCTTGGTTCTTATCCCCAAGATATACTTCATTGTGTATATGCAAATATTTCAAAATCCAAAACACTTCCTCTGGTCCCAAGCATTTCCAATAAAGGACACTCAACCTTGTATTGATTTTTAGAGCTCTGACCTATTGCTAACACTAGACCACATCCCCCCAATTAGTTGGTTCCATTTCTTAATGAGTATCATAATAGTCAACCGGATCAATGTCCCTTCAGCCATTACTCCAAAGATCATTATAATTCGAAAAGCAGTATACAGAGAACTTTACATTCTGAAATTTACTGGATTTTAGAAGATTCATCTTATGGGAAAACCTCTGTGAATCAGTTCCTTTTTCTTACACATATACCCTAACATACATAAAACTGCAGAGCTGGGGGCAATGATGCACACCTATAATCCCAGCTACTCTGGAGTCTTGAGTCAGGAGGATTGCTGGAGCCCAGGAGTTCATGGACTCTGTTTCAAAACTAAACCAAACAAACCCATCTGGCTAAATTGCTGAGGCTAGCCTTGAATTGGTGATCCTCCTGCCTCAGATTCCARAGCATCTGGAATTAGTTATATACAACCATGCCAGTACCTGAAATATAATTTCTCAAGACACACACTTATACAAAGCAGTATATTTTAAAGTGCTTTTACATGTCAGTAAGTAAAAATAACTTTCTTGAGTAGGTATAATCAATGACCGAGGTTTAGCCAAAGAAATAAATTATCTTTTTTTAAGTTCTGTATAACCTGGGCTGGGTTTGTGGCTCAGAAGTAGAGCACTCACCTAGCATGTGCAAGGCTCTGGGTTTGATCCTCAGCACCATGTAATAATAAATAAATAAAATAAAGGTATTATGTCCAACTACAACTAAAAAATAAATATTAAAAAAACAAGTTCTGCATAACCTGTGTTTCTGCAACCATAGTAGTTAAGAAAGTAATTTCTGTCTAAAAGCCACTAAGACAAAAGCTCACATACACAAGCCAAAATTAATAATAAAGGGGTTAATGCTGCCAAATACTACTGATATACATTTCAGAACTAAAATGGTCAAAAATAAAGGAAGATTGACATGGTAGATTGGTTTTCAGTTGTTTCACTGACGGAGGTCATGGCAACCCTAAACAATCTACTTAGTCCTTAATGCCATTATATTTTCAGCTACAGAAATTTTTTTTCAGCTTACTTTTACAGTAAATGAGCCATTTCAAGTTTACAAGGACAAGCAACATAAACTGTGAAGAAAATATTGAGTTTACCATTTGCCTTTCTAGTTCAAAATGGGTCCTCATCATCTGGTCCTGCCTACCTCCTAAATGCGTGTCACATCAGGAAACTACCCCCCTTGCTTTCCATACTTCAGTCTCATGGGCCTTTTTTCTTTCCTGGAAATCAGCAGGTTTCCTCAACCACATGGCCGCTGCATATGTCCCCTCTACCTCAGTTCCTCATTCACTCAGGAAGTATTTATTGAAGCCAAATATGTAACAGATGTTGGAGATATGCCAGTGATTGTACATGGCCACTTTATGCTGGAAGAGACTTTCCCCTTCCTTTCCTCTTTCCTCTGACTCAACTACTATTTTTCCCTCAAATCTCAACTCAATCATCTCTTCCTCAGTAAAATTTTTCCAAATCTCATGGCTAGACCAATTTCCCCTATTATATTTTCATCCATCCATTCAAAAACTATTTTTGAACACCTAAGGTATGTCACACATTGACCTTGCTACTAGACAGAGCAAGAAAAAAAATATATATATATATATATATATATTATATATATCAAATCTCTTGTTCTAATGCAGCTTACATTCTAGTGGGAGAATTATTTTTTTAAAAAAGTAAAGGAAGAGTATAAATCTAGACACAGGAGCCTGAAAGGGTGTCTTTGATGAGGTGACATGTGAGCACAGTGTCATATGAAATGAGGAAGCAAATCATGTGGTACTTGAGGCAGCATTCTAGTAAAGGCACACACATTCACAGAGGCCCTCTTAGCACTGTATGATTTTCGTTTCTCAGTTTATCACAGATGCACTTTCATATTGATTGGATTTTTTCTTCTCAACTATTAGTTTTGAGAGTAAAGTGCATTTTCTGTTATTGATGCTCAGGTCCCAGCTCAACACTCAATAACAAGTTATTTGTAGAATGAATGTAGCAGAGTGGAACCAGAAGAGAGCTAAGAGTTTCGATCACTGGCTCTTATTTCCTACTAGCCACTAACTAGTTATTTAAATATTTATCTGACTCAGTGTTGTTGTTGTTTTTCCTATAAAATTAGAGTTTGACTAGATCTAAAAGAAATAATTCTCTTATCACTAGAGATACTATTAATACATTCTAAAGTATGTAAAAACTATGTCTTTTTTTTTTTTTTTTTTTTTGGTTGGGGTTGGCGATTGAACCCAGAACTTCTTGCATGCTAGGTAAGCAAGTGCTCTACCATTGAGGTACATTCCCAGGACCCTCGCCAACATTTTTTAAAATGTTGATGCCAAACACCTGAGTTTACTACTGTAAATACTATTAGGTTACCATATACTAACACCTTATTTATATTTATTCATGAGTCATTTATTCAGAACATAACTTAGAAGCTTAAGGAAGAAAACATTACTACATAGAGACAAAGGAGATGCTGCAAAACCCATACACTTGCTCACTTTCTCTGTGCAAGCCCTTAAACTCTTATTCAGTAGTTATTAATCATTTTTTGTAATACAATTGTCAGATGTAAATTCARACAGAGTGAAAAGAATTTCATTTTTAAGACATGTCTATGTTCATTTGTCTATTTCTTTCAATAGATAATTCATGTACACAGAACAAATTTCAATGAAAGGTAACTTCTTTCCAAAATTAATAACTAAAAATTTTAAAGTTTAATTATCTTGTTTCCCATTTTGAAATAAATGAAGAGTAGAAGAAAGCCACACAAAGACAAGAACTGCCCTCTGAAAGGAGACTTGAGAAAACTTTTAAATCAGGCAGAAAAATCTCAAAAAAAATATTTCCAGTAAACCTGGCAACAGACATCTCATACTGATCATTTATGTTCTAATCAAAAAAGAAAGTTTAAATTATTTAAGTACATTTTTAAAGAGTTAATGAAAAATTATTTCTTTTAAAAAATGAAGGAACTAAAAGGAGATAAGGCTCAGGTATCAAAAACAATATTTTAAAGGCAAATTCAGATTGCTTTATTATAACTGCTGTGAATATTAATACTGGAAGAAAATTAGTATTGTATTTATTTAGATCTTAGGATTGAATTTCTTTCAAATGCCATTGTATAATGAAAACAAAAAGGCTTAAGAAGAGTTTAGAGACTCAAGACAACTTGGATACTTATGTTCCAGTCAATATTCAATATTTTTAAAGTGCTCAAAAATAATTTTATGTGGATTTCTTCCTCCGGTCATAAGAAATAACAGCTAATGAGAGTAAATCAACTGCTCAAAAGTGTTCTCAAAACTTGTAATGTTTCTTCAGCCTTAAGAAATCTGCAACTAGGCTAATTTCTATGTATAAACTGTTGTCTTTAGATGACACATCAACAAGGTAAAAATTTATACTGTAATTGAGTGATGCAATATTTGGTAGACAAGACTTACTTGAATTTGGTTTCAACTCCCAAAGCCTCTAGGCTAGGGATGARACAGCCCAATTATGTAGCAAAATTCTCTAGAGACAAGGGGCTGGTTCTGTGATTACAAAGAAATTGGAATAGAAGGGGCCATCAGAAAGTCCAGAATATCATAAAGTAATAGGTAAACAGCTCARGAAATAGTAATGGTCTCTCATTATAGCAACACTCCTTCATAATCAAGATGATAAACCAACCTAAAGAAACATCCAAATAAACAATCATACCATAAAATCCTACTGAAACCAAAAATATAAGTACTTGAGACATTTTTACTTTTAGATTTGGAGAAGGAAATTACAAAGTTATTTTCTTGAGGGACTCCTTCATTAGTTACATTAAAGAAACGGAAAACAACAAGGAAAGAGGCAATATCCTAAACACTGCAGCATTTTACAATAACTCCTTTTCATATAATTCAAAACAATTTATTATAGCTCAAAAGATTAAAAAGTATCCTAGTTACTCAAATTACAAAGAAATCAAATGTTTTAAAACACCGAAAATGAGGAAGAAACTCTATATGACGCTGGGAAAGAAGCTCCACTAAAGTCAGCTTAAAAAAAAAAAAAAATATACAAAGAGACTGAGACAGGAGAATCCCGGGTTCAAAGCCAGCCTCAGCAAAAAGCGAGGCGCTAAGCAAYTCAATGAGACCTTGTCTCTAAATAAATACAAAAACAGCATTAGGGATGTGGCTCAGTGGTCGCGTATCCCTGAGTCCCTGAGTTCAATCCCCAGTACCAAAAAAGAAAAAAAAGAAAAAGAAAAGAAAAATACTGCTATCCAAGTTGTTCACTTCCTGCTTGCCTGCCCCTTCTACAAAGCGGCAGGTCAATAAATCAATGTAATTCGTTAGGAAGGAAACTGAAAACGAAGCTCCTTATCACACTGATAACAAAACTACAGCTGGAACGTATGCAGCATCCCTTCCTTCTAAAGAAATTGTAGAAATAAAGGAGTGATTTTTTATTAGGTTGTAACTATCTTTAAAAACAAACTTTTAGATCTCAAAAAGCCTCAAGGTGCAACTGTCAAGAAGAAAACCAGCATCAATCTGAGGTTGCTTACGCGGTGTACTGCATCATACTAACACCACAGATCAAAAAGCATCTATTTAGGAGTGTCGAGATTGAACGCGGATGCCAGGTTTCGGAAAAAACCGTCCTTAAACTCTTCACCAGCGCCAAGCACCCGAAGGTATCACTTGTGCCTTGAAGTGGGAAATGACACTCTTTTTTTCCATAACTGGCTACCCAGCGGCCTCAACCCCCTCAAAAACACACTGGGCCCGCCCCCGCCCCCGCCCCCTTCTCGGATGCAAACTCCAGCAAAACGTGTCTGGTGACCCAAGTCGCCACAGGCTCCTAACACACCAACAACCACATCGCTTTCCGTCCGGGGTCGGGGGGCGATGCATTAAAGAGGCTGCCCAAATTAGCGGAAGGTGGGGGCTGCCGAGAGAAGCCACGGTTTCCGCAGTCCTTCCTGGGAGGGGGCCGCGTCCACTTGGGCTCCGAGACGGCCAGGGCTAGGGTGCGTCAGGGGTCGCACAGCCGGGAGGGACCCCGCGCGCGGCCGGCCCGGGAAAGCGGCGTCGTGCGCGGGCGGCGTGCGCCCTCGACCTCCTCTTCCCGAGGGGCTACCCAGACCTCCAGCGTCCCGCGCCCCAGACTCACCTTTGATGCCCGCCATGGTGGTGATGTCGCTCTTGGCTTCACAACCCGAGGCGGCGGCGGCGGCGGCCGGGAAGACCGACGACTCACGGCGGCGTCCAGACAACACCCGGAAGTGCGCGATGCAGCACTTCCGCCGGCGGCTCGCGCTCTMGCGGGGGCGCGGGGGGCGCGCCAGGCTTGGGCCTGGCTCAACCCCTTCCAGCCTTCCRGGTTGCAGTGCGGGTCCCGCTTTGCACCAGGGCTCAGGTTTCCCGACCCTGCCCAGGCTTGGGGGACCTGCCTGTGACAGCCCTTGAATTCCGGGCTGGGTCGGGCGGAAGCTCCACGCTGAGCAGCTGCCTGCGTTCTGTGCGGAGAAGGGGATGCAAATAGCGGCGGTCCTTCGAAGGCACGTGTGAAGTCTTCGGAGGATAATGTTTCTTTCCTCGAAACGYACCCATTTCTCCCTCCCGCTTCCAGCCTAGTGATAAAGGTTGGGTGGGCTGTGCTTGGCTTTTCGGTTTCCTACACCGAACTAGGGTTTTTGGTGAGGACTCTCCTCCAGAGATAGGAGCAGCAGGGCCCTGTAAGGGGCGCGGGGAATAATACAAACGCAATCCCTTGGCAGTCCGAGAAATGAAAAGGAGAAAGCAGAAGTCTGATATATTTATTTAGCTACCCTACAGATATTTATTGGACAGTTTATGTGTTGGGGGAAAAGGAGTAGACAGCAGGGTGAGCAAACCCAGATGCAGGTTTTTAAGTTGCTTACAGACTAGAGGGACACTAACAGGAAGAATTGCAACAACGATGATTGCTAATAAGGAGAGTCCAAATATACCACTCCAAAACACGCCACTTTGACAAGGATTATTTTGAGCTTCAGGCAATTAAAAAACTGCAGATCAGTGAGAATCTCTACTCTCCCCCTTTTCTGCCCCAAAGCAGAGCATAAGTTCCCTATTTGTAAGGGTAAAGGTAACAAATTTATGTTTAAAAAAAAAATTACAGTGTAGATTTTCTCAATTATAAATATTTCCATTTCCATGTCCCTGACTAGGAATTGGTCCTGTAAATGGCATCAATCTCAGTCTGCATAAATGTTACTGTAAAAACCCTTATTTTTCTTTAGCTTTCCCCAAATATTTATCTTCTCAAAATTCACTGCTCCTAGAGGCCCAAACCCCCTTTCTGTTGTCTAGTCACTTTTCTACAATGTATCCCTTGTTGTTAGGATGATACACTTGCTCCCAGGCCTAACTGATTATTGGCATTTTTACCGTCTTTTGCAGGGTGGGGGGTGGGGTGGATTAATCTGTTTTTTTTGTAAACTTAATTTACAAGCCTCAGCCAGTGAATCTGAGGGGGAAAACAAAGTTTTTATCCTTATGGGAGGAAAAATGGGTAAATAGTCCCATGAAGATCTTTGATTTGGATCTGCCAGAAAAGATTTCTCTAAGGGAAAGACAACAGAAGGATGAACATATGTGTAAATAGGAGAAAAGGAAACAGCCATGAGGGTGCAGTGGTCTGTGCATAAGCTTCTGTGACAAATGGAGCAAGGAGATAGGTGATTTGAGAGGAGAGAAGGTCAATGAGATTACTCAGTGTTCTATCTAGGGAGTTCTGCTTTTTTTTTTTTTTTTTTTTTCTACTTTGAGCACTAAGACTCTTTTAAAGGGTTTTATTTATTTTTTTATATATTTATATATTTATATGTGGTGCTGAGGATTGAACCCAGGGCCTCACACATGCTAGGTAAGCGCTGTGCTGCTGAGCCACATCCCCAGCCCCTTCAAGGGGTTTAAAAGGAGACAGGTGGTGCTAAGTAACATAAGATTTGAATTTTTAAATCTTTTCAGTCATTTAATCTGGCATGTAAGACTTTAATGAATGAATGTTTTAAAGTCATGTTTCCAACATGCTATAAAAGGAGAGCTACTGGGAAGCTTAAGGACTTGTCCACCTTGCTTTTCTCCACTATTGGTAGGGTGGAGTTACATTAGGTGTAATGTAATTCTCCACTATTGCTAGGGTGATAATTACATTATCACTGTGGCTCAGCGATAGAGTGCTCACCTAGCACATGTGAGACCCTGGGTTCAATCCTCAGCACCACATAAAAATAAACAAAACAAAGATATTGTGTCCAACTATAACTAAAAAATAAATATTAAAAAAAACAGATCACTTCTTAAGGTTTCCTGCCTCAAATAAATATATAATGATCTTGTGAGAGAGAATTTTTTTTATTCAAGTTAGTGTAAAAATTCCTTCTACCATCCTCTCTGTACCATAGGAAAATTGTTTCCATTTAAGGATTGTGGTAGCAAAAACACAAGGCATACTTGAATGTATGCCGTGGAAATGTGTGCTGTTTAGATGAAATCTGGATTACCAGTCCCTTTACTAAATTCCTGAAGGAGTTATACATATTCTTCTCAATCATCTTCAAATGAGTGGATAGATGCTGTCATTTGAATGTGTTTCCTTAAAAGCATGCTGGAAACTTAATCCCCAAAGCAACATAGGAAGTGGGGCTTTAGTGGGAGGTGATTAGGTTAAGGACCTAATGGATTAATGCTGATTATAAACAGACTTGAGGCCAGGATTTCAGTGTCTGGTGTTTTCTCTAGGTATGTGATGCCTTAGTCATGTTTATACCACCTGTTACCAATGACAACTTCTGCTCCCTCAAACGTTGAAGTTTGAACATTAGAGAAGCACATGGAGGGAAGCATATAAAGCAGGGTTTATTTAAACGAGGTAACATAGACTTCTCTCGGGAGGGAGAAGGGGGCCATAGCTGGTATCCTGGTATCCCCAGAAGCTAGGTGTTCTGCCCTTTTTGTATGTCCTAGACTTCCTTTGTTCTCCTGCCCTCTTCCCCTTATCTTTCTCCTTCCTATATATGTTACTAGGCCCAGGTATGCTCTGGGGGGATGGCCAAAAGGTGGGAAACAAGTAGGCTGAATGGGGGAAGGGCAGGATGGTGCAGCCCAGAACACATTAATTAGTAACCTTATAGCTTCCTGTAAGGAGGGGCAATTCCTCGGACAGGTTACCTTAACAACAGGTTAAGGTAACCTGCATTTCCCAAGACTCACTCAAAATTGGTCTGATTCAATCTGACCTGACTCTACTCACTCAAAATGTCATGACTCAATCTGACCTGACTCTATTTACTTTTCTGTACTGACTGCCTGTCTAATTCTGGCTTCAATGTTACGCWGCAAGAAAACCCTTGCCAGATATGGGCCCTCATTCTTGGACATCCTGGCCTCCAGAACTGTAAGAAAGAAAACTCTGTTCTTTATAAATTACCCAGTTTATGGCATTCTGTTATAACAACACAAAACTTAAGACTTCCTGGAGAAATAAATGATTCCATCTGAAATGCTACCATAACTCCTGTTCTTATTTTGTTCCATGGAGTTCCATCTTTGAAAATAGTGATGGTTGAGGGGACATAGCTGATCAGTGGTGAGAGGGCTGACCAGTATGATGTTAGTAGTAGAAATTGATAGGTTCATATCTCAAGGGCTGTAGTTTAGCTCCTTAATAAAGATTACATTTTAGGAAGTCTTTTGAGGGTTTCTTCCTGCAAACTCCAATGGTTAATTTGTAGTCCCTAACTTTCTCTTTTGAATAAGTGTATTTGGTGTTATAAGTGTCCTTTATGACATCAGTGGGCAACTGGATTTTTCATCTGATGAGAGGGCTCTATAGTCTTCTGTTTCCATGGTCACAGAATCCTAGGAGATTGTGCTCTTTTAATTTTCTCAGGAGATTCAGTGTTTCTAGTAAGAAAACATTCATCACTCTAAGACCTATTTCTGGTCTACAGATGCTATCTAAGAACCAGTACCTTGATACTTTTAAAATAGTATTTCCAAATGTAATATAAAGATCACCTACATCAAAGTTCTTTAGGATGCTTCCCAAATTCGGAGGTGGAAACTCCACATCTTCTCAACTAGAAATTTTGTGAACAGGGTTCAGAAATCTGAAATGTTAACATGTACCAAGGCTTGAAAATTATTGTCTGAGAAAAGAATTTCGGTTTTCCTCAGTAGTTTTTCAAATGAATCCTCAACACTAGTTGGTGTTATATCATTTGTTCTCTACATATATTAATTTGATACCATTCACAGTTTCAACACTTTTTAAAGAGATGGCTTCCTAACCTCCAAGATTAATTCTGAGGTGGGGTGAGAGGAAGAGACCTCTTGTTTATAGGGCAGCTGCTATGTTCCTATGTTCTGGGTAACTTTAAGATTTATCTGAATTTATCCTTTCCACAGTTTTGTAAAGTGGGAATTATTAGTCCTTCTAGACCAACTCGGAGAAATCACAGAGGTGTTTTTAGTTTTAGTTTTAAATTTATTATGGAAATATCTAAGTACTATATATAAAAAGTAGGCAAAAGAGTGAAATGAACTCCCATGCACTATCAGCTACCTTCAATTCTCAACATATGGTCAATGTTATATTTATACTACCCATGCCCATTTCCACTCACCATATTATTTTTTCTTTGTGTAAATTTGAAGTATATTCCAAACATAATTTTGCCTGGGGGAAGGGATAATAGAAATTGTGATCTATAGGCAGTCCAAAGCTTAGGTTACAATTTGTCACTGTCAACTGGACCCTGAGGTAGGAGGCAGTCTTGTGAGCCTGAGCCCTTAACCTTCAGGATTTGACACTATCTTGCTATAGATAGTGAAGCAAGAAGTAGACAGGCAGTCAGTGTAGACATGTAATTGTGTAGGATCATAAAGATGGAGGCTGATTTGGGTTTGGGAAGTTGAAGGCTGCCTCTGGGGAATTGAAAGGTTAATGCCCCCAAAGCCCTTCTTCTTCTTCCACCCTTACCAAGACAACCTGCTTCTGCTCCAAACTGTTGCTAAGGTAACCTGTCCCAGGAATTGTCCCTCCCTGTAGGGAACTGTAAAAGTTGTTAATTAATGCCTCCTGGGCTGCTACCTGCCTGGATCACTCCATTTGGCCCTTCCCCTTCCCCCTGCCTACCTGCTTCTCACCTTTTGGCCACCCCACTGGTCTCTCCCGGCCTAGTCAAGAACACTGGAAGAAGAGAGATTAAGGGGGAAGAGGACAGGAGAACAAAGGAAACCTAAAGTGT